TCCTTTTTGTAGCAGGAGCCCTAGTGGCACAGTGGTTAAGGGCTTGGGTGCTGCTAACTGAAAGGTTGGCTGTTAGATGTGGCAGTCTAAAGATTACAGCTTTAGAAATCCTGTTTCACTCTCTCCTGTAGTCTTGCTAGGTGATGGAATCCACTCAGTGGTAATGGGTTTGTTTTGGTTTAATTTCTGCAGATCACCAGGTCTTTCTTTTGGGGCATTGCTGGGTGGGTTCACATACAAAGGATAAAATTACATAGAGGTATATACACACACATACACACACACAATAGTGCAGGTAAAAATTAGTGAGAACTGAATAAATTCTGCAGTTTAATTAAAAGTATTTTGCAAGGTCAATTTCCTGGTTTTGATAATGTAATATAGCTATATAGGTTGTTACCACTAGGGGACGTTGAGTGAAGGGTTCTGGGGACTCAGTTTTGCAATTTTCTATGATTCTTAATTATTTAAAAATAATAAATAAAAAATACCGTGGCAATTTTTTGTTATTGTTAGGTGCCTTCCAGATGGTTTCCACTCATAGCCACTCTATGTAGGACAATTCTTTAGTGGTTGATAGTTTGTATTACTTGGGATTCCATGGTTTAACAAATCAATGTGATTTTTTTTTTTTTTTTTTTTTTACTTTTTATGCATGGATTAGCAGTTTAGCTGCAAGACTCTTGTGAAAGTAAAGTGTTGCCTACTGATTATGAAAGTACTTTCAAAACGTAGGAAATTTTCATAAGCCACCTCAAATTTACAATTAAATTCAAACACTCAATAGAATCGGACAACAACATTTACCTATTTAGAAATATTTTCTACATAAATTTGAAAAGTAGTACATATATCATTCTGTTCAATTATGTGCTCAAAATTGTTGTAATTATATCTGAAACAGCATCAAAATTTAAATACAAGAAATCAGTATTTGCATATGTCAGATTCAAAGATGCATTCTCTTATAATACTGAATATATTAAAGACATACACTGACAGACTAGATAACTTTCATAACTAGGATTCAGGTATACTCTTTGCATTTTAAAATACAGGAGAGATTGAATTTATTTTCTCTTTTCTTCAACTTTACCTGTGGTAGGCCTGTGAGAGTATATGAACTGCCTGCTCCCCAGAGAAATACTGAAGCCTGTCACAAGTAGAATGAAAAGTTCCAGGCCTCTTGAGGAAAGTAATTGGCCCAGGTGTGATATTTATAGTAGATGATGCCTTTGCTTCTTTTTAATATGAATGGGTTTGTCTTTCAAATAAATTATATTATAAACCCTGAAAGGATTCTAGTTTCATTTATTCAATGACTAATGCACCCATATGTAGCTAAAATATTTCTTCCAAAATATAGATAAGCAAAAGATAATGAAAATACAATGCTACCGAGAAATCAAACTGAGAGTCCATCTACTAAATGTGAATTGTATACTACGCGACTATTGATAAGTTTAATAGAGGTATCCAGAAAAGAAAAAAACAAAAACCAACATAAAACAAACTCACTGCCCTCAAGCAGGATTTGACTCATAGCGACCCATCCTTGGGTTTCCAAGGCAGTATTACAATGGAAATAGATTGCCCAACCTTCCTTCCCTTCTGAGCAGTGGCTGGTGGGATTGAACCCATCAACTCAAATGCCTTAGGCACTATGCCACCAGAGCTCCTAATAGAGCTATAGTATGTGAAATTCAATTTCACTTTTTGGACAACCTAGTCTTCAAATCATGGAATAAATCCAATATAAGAAAAAAAGATACCTCCCACTGCATGTATTTAACTAAGAAAACCTTGTCCAGATAAGGGGAGAGTTCTCTGTTATTGCACTGGATATTTCTTTGAGAGATAACATCCACTCATCATATTCACCCTCTACCCTTAGCTTTTGTAAAACAATTGAGATACAGAAACTTCCAGTAAAGAGCAGTGAAGAAAGCAGGAAAGAGTGGAAGAAAGAAAGAGTTTAATACAGCATCACATTATGAGAGCACACATACTTTAGGCAGAGGCAACTACAGGAAGAAAGTTACAGTTTATCATGGCAGCCTTCATTTCTATTTTCTACACTAACTTCGTATATTATTAAACCAGGCTTTAGAGTTAGGAAGAGTAACTGCAGAGTGCAGCAGTTCAGTCTTGTATTAGAAAACAAAAAAAGTGAAAAATCAAGACAAGAGTTATGCCTATTAACTTTGAAAAAGGAAATCTATCATTACCCAGTAGATAATTAGATAATACTCAGAAA